TTAAGTTTTTGAATTTTTTTTGGTCGATCACAATGGTTGATTATTGAAAATAATAAATCAACATTACAGAACAATAATAAGAAATTTCATTAATGAAATTGAAAATATGCAACGACTTTTAATAGAATAAATAGTAATTAAATAGAATCGAACATTAAGAATATTATACTTTTGTTTTAATACGTCAAAGAAAAAATAAAACTTATACTTTATATATTATTAGGGTTGTGCTTATTACTATAATTTTAATATATCATCTAAAATTAAAGGCCTCATGTATGTATCTAGTGACGTATGCTAATTCCAATCACTTTCAACTTCTATTGCTGGCTGCACTATTTAATATTGTTTATTATCAAAGTCAGGTTTATGGTTGTTTTTAATACTATTTCTAGTATTATAGAGGACTTTGGTATAATTTTAGCATTACTTATAAGTTATATCAGTCTATTTGTTTAAATTCTGTTCTATTTTTCGGTATATAATATTTTTGCAAGCAATGGATACATTTCACTTTATGTAGATAGGTAGGATATGGGTTTTACTGCAATAAATTTACTTTACGTATAACATCTTTTTTATATTGTTTTCTAATCTTAATTTTAATATTAGTTATATGGTTATGTATTTAATTATTATTATAAATTTTATAAAATTAATGTACATATATATGTGTGTGTGTGTGTATTCTTTTTACATTAAATTGGGTATATATTTTAATTCATGATATTTCATCAGCATTCCATGACTGTATTATCAAGGTCCTTTATATCTGTTTCCATTATTATTTTAAACTGATCTGTAATTCTGCTTTTTCATGTATTATCTTCGTTATTTTTGTTTTATCACCATGAGATTTTGACATTATTTAATTTTGTTTATTATTCACTTCAGATTTTTTATCATTATCATTTATAAATTTATATGAAAAGTTATTCATTAGTAGATTAGTTGACGTGCATCAAAATGCCCTAAATATATTATATTCATTTCCATTTCAAAATTGATGATTTAAGCTTTATTTGTCGAATTTATTTATTTAATATTGTTTTTCGAGATTGAGAATTTGATTTTCTGAATAGATTGAGTGATCACTATTATCACTAGCGGATCCAGGATTTAATTTTGGGGGGAGCTTCAGCCCGAAACCTTTTTTTTTTCATAAAAATAACGATAATTACTTTGGAAAAACAGAAAGAAAATAACTACCTATATGAAATGGTGTTTAAGTTATTCCTTAAGTACTTTTAAATGTAATTACACAAACAATAATACTTTAAGAGGAATTTTTAAAATTTTTTTCTCCATAAAACATGGTTATATTTTTCCATTTTGGGGGGGGGCTTCAGCCCGAAAGCCCCCCCCCCGTAGATCCGCCCGTGACTATTATTGAATCACTGAGAGCTGAAATTGTTGATGGGTGGAGGGAGTAGGTGTAGTAACAGAAATGAAAAAAAAAAACCAAAAACAATTACAAAGAAAAATAACAATATTAAAATATATTAATGAATAAAAAATAATTGCAATATCTAACAGCTAATTAATTATAAATACATGAATTGTCAAAAATTGTTATTTGCTAGTATCCACAAATTAATAACATGAAGAGGTTCAGTGTAATATTAGATGTGAAATAAGTTATATCAGGGATACTTAGAAGATACAAGATTTTCTTTTTTTTTCCAAAACTGCCTAACTAGGCCGAAATGTAAAATAATAAAATTTTCTTTTTAATATTTAAATATATAATTAATATTAAACAGGAGTTTTATATGTAAAATTTGTTGGTTGGAGTATTTGTGAGATTTCGAAACTTAAATCTTTCATTGATTAAATGTTAAAAAACTAAATAACGATTAAATAATCAACAATCGGATAAATAATTGTTTTTTCAAATAGCCTTTTTTTTTTCACAATTTTTCAATTCTATCTTTCTTGTTAGTTATATCTTTAAGTTTATTAATATTGCTTTAAAATTCAAAATTAATATTATTATTTATGTTCAATTTTTTTAATGATTTCAGTTTCTTTTGATACAAAATATATTTTAATTTGAAATATTTATTGCTATTTTCTTGTACTTTCACTGCATTATCATTTATTAATTGGTTTCCGAGGATTAAGTTTGTTATTTATTATTTCAAAAACCTTGTCTTTAATTTTCTGTATTTGTTTTATGTGTTAATTTTATTTTATTTTTCATGGAATTAGTACTGATATTTATGGACGACGACGTGTTGGGCGGGTTTGCCTATCGAATGTTCGTTTAATATATTTCATTAAAATAATTTTAATATAAATTTCAAAATAATGCAATTAGTAGATTTTTTTTACAGATTGATATAGGATAATTTATTTATTTATTGGCAAGAATTAAAAAAATAAAAAATAAATTAGTGAATTAATAGATTGAAGGAAATTAGTCGTCTGTTCTACATATCATGGGTGATAAATATTCAGGACGCAGTCTTTTTTAATTTTTTTTCATTTTTGCCTACGTTCTTGATCGATTAATGAGCTAGATAAAAACATATATTTTATCTTTATTTTTTAAAATTTAAAATATATAATAAATAAAATTAACAATGTTTTGTGATATTTTGAATTTTCAAATTTTGCATACTATTGACCATAAAAAGTCACAACTTATTACTTTCACTTACGTATATATGTAATATATAGTAAGGGTAAGTATTGCGATCGAGAAAATTTTTGAATCTGAGTTTTCAACTGAAATACACGTTTTGAGGTACCCTGAGTCGAAATGACCAAGTCCCGAAAAATGGTCTGTGTAAATGGTTTGTATGTTAGCAGTCTAGCTCAAAAACGAAAAGTCCTACGAAATTGATATTACGTATTTAAGATAGGTATATGCCTTAGATGTGACGGAAACTTTTTCCTTAAAATCGGCTAACCGGAAGTGCCACTTCATATCAACGCTGAAACACGACGAGGGATGGTAAAATTAAATTCCGAATAACTTAAAAAGTATACACTTTTTTGTCGATATGATTTTTTAAAAGTTTATGGAATTTCCTAAAAAAATAAAAACAAAAATCATTAAGATCGAACAATTAGGAGGAAAGATATGGTCTATAGTTGTTTTCCTAGAAGAGGCAAAAATTTCGATAAATTTAAAATATACTTTTTTAATTGTTGAATCTAAAAAAACTTCTTTTCTACAGATATTTAATTAAGTATCTTTCCTAAGAACATTTTTCGTAAGAAATAAGTACCTAAATTTATACCTTTATTCTCAGTTCTATATTTCAACACTGCAATCCCCACCTCCGGAATCAACTTACTCATTGTCTGCATAGATAACTTTTTCAACTAAAAATATCACTAAAATGACATTACTCAAAATTTTTGAAATTGGAGTTAGTCATTCTGTGGTTTATAAAAGCAAAGAAAGTTGTGTGGTTTATAAAATCAGATAGAGTGGCTAGATTTTTATTGCCTGTCGTCGATATATTAAATAGACATTGTGTAATTACAATGGTCTTAATGACTTGTTATCTGTAAGCTTTAAGCTTTAGCTCCGTTTAAAATGCACTTCAAAAAATTGTATAATAGCATTGCCAGAAAATAATTTTCATTCAAAATAGAGCGGTAAGTGAAAGTTGTGTGTTGCTTGCACCATATTTTTCTGTAAAATGTGATTATATTTTACCACTTTGGGAGAGGGGGGCTTGAGTCCGAAAGCTTCCTTCTCCCCGTAGATCCGCATGTGATGAGGTATCCCCACATATATTATTACAGTAAGACTCGAAATCGGTTTTATACCAAATATAAACTCATGTCATGCTCAAATACCATGAATGGGGTACTGTTGAATTCAGAATTTCACGGGGGGTTAGCGAATCGTATTCTCCACTTTTGTTTTTCTTTCTAAAATAAATAAAGTCGATACAAACATTTCACGCTTCAATACCGGAACGGTGGTAGGTCTGTAGATCGATACGGGACAAATTGGACCTTGAAGATTTTGATGCGTACAGCAAGACCCGGATATCGGATCTTGCGTTTTTAAGCTTAAAAACGTACTATTCGCATAGGATTAGCATCCACAGAACCTTACATTAATTTTAGTATTGTCATTGAATACATGTCTCATTTCGACTTGACTTGAGGTCTCTATGATCGAGAGAGGAGGACTTTATATTATTTATTGATGGTGATTTTGATCGGCGAGCCATATGATCGTTAATTTTTTACCAAATTTCAAGATTGAGCCACCAATTTCGAAGGCTTACTTCTCCTTCAGGCGGGCAAAATAGTCCAATCACCCCGAAAATTCAGGGAAAAAGTTATCAAAGAAAACAAACTTTATTTGCGAATAACTGAAAAATTACACACTTTTCTCTTATGCCCATGATTATATGAAAGATTACTAAATTCCCTGCAAAAAGAAAAAAATAATCATCGAAATCGGACAATTTTTAGCAAAGATACTACTTACTGAAATTTATAAACATGTTGGTTCCAAACAAAAATGAAGATTTAAATTAATTTTTGTTTTCTTTGTCTATTATATTTATCGATAAAGTAACATTTGATCTTTTGATACGTTGCATTATTTTATTTTCTTATTAATTTGGCATTTGATAACTATATGCTGTGCGAATTTATATGCTGTGCGGGCCTATTAGTAATTATAAGGTAGTTTTATAGACTTTGTATAGTACTTAAAATTTACTTGTGACTGTACACTGTTTAATTCAAGCGACTACACAATTGCAATAACAATCAACAGTTAAGAAGTTTGTATTTCGTATTCTTCTCAGCCAGACTAAGACTGATAAATATGTATCTCTGTTATTATTCTCATGGTACTGTAGTCCCAGGATAAAATTATTTTAAATTATTTATAAAATTATTTTCATTCATTCACACCTATGAATCGATACTTACCTCCCATACCTTAATAGTATCGAACATTCATATCGATTACTGGTATCGATAGGTGTAATCGTGGTGGGGGAAACTGATTGTGGCGCGGTTTTCCGGGCAGTACTGTTTGAATTACGTTGGGGTCAGTAGCTGCGGTTCTTTTAATTACATTTATAATAGAACAATTCTTTCAATGCAACTTTAAATCTTTTATAATATATATTGAGCTGATTTTGTTTTCGTTTGTCTACATTAAAAAAGGTATCAAGAAATACGGTAGAAAAGTGAGCTTTTCTTATAATTATCATATTAACATTTTATATAGTAAGATGATTAATTTCGAAAAAGGTTTAGTCCATTTTTTTTTTAACAATTATTATACTTATATATTTTATTATATGCTTATTTAATTTAAGACTAAAAACACCTTAATCCAATACAAGAATTATTTTAATCTCATGGGTTTGAACCAAATGGATCAGGATCATTCATGTTTGTATCCTGTAAATAATTTTTAAAATGATTTGAATCCATTTTAGAACAAAAAGGTTATAAACTGTGTAATTAACAAATGTTTCAAATTTTAAAAATATATAAAGGTTTTCAGTAATGATTACCAGGGAAATAAATTATAGTAAATTAATGGTCGCAAGTTTATCTAATGCTTAATGTAAAATAAATTAGTTAATTTTTAAGCAAATTTGATTAAACAAACCATAAATATAAAATTTGGGTAAATGTTATAGCATTTTATAGAAAAGTTGCTTAATTTGAAATTGTTAAAAATTTATTTAATTTTTATTCAAGCTCAAAAAAATATGCTTGTATAACCAATTGTTAAGAAAAATATTCACAAAACTGTCAAAAGATAGATACACTCAGCTAGCTCCAGCATTCAGTTAATTAATCACAGTTTGACTGTGTGTTCTTGTGCCCATCAATCATGTTAAAGTGACAAAAAGAATTCTTGTATCGAATCACAAACCATAGCCCTGAGAATGAACCATATATTTGAGCCGAAACGCTAAAAGCTAACCTGATAAAAAGTCGACAATCCTGACTATTTTGTTTCATCTTAATAATGAGTCGACTAATTACCCACATCAAAATATAAATATACATACAATATATGAATTAATCTATAGAGCTAAAATGGAAACATATAAGAGGCTTAATAATGAATATTATATTTTCAGAAGGCAGAAGATATTGGAATAAGTTGATGAAATTATCTCTTCATGAACTCTATGGATTACAGAGTTATTTTTTTCTCAGCCAATAAATATTAATTCGGTAAGGAATCCTGCTCAACTAAATTTTACCTTATTTAAATAGTTGTGTAGTATTTTTATTTATTTTTTGCACTATATTGTCAATTTAGACTAATATGTGAAAAGACTTGATTGTAATCTCCTAACCTAAGCTTTGCCCCTAAGGTTCTCTCTTAATTTATTTGACTATATATACATATATAGATATAATTTTTTTTTTTTTGTTGGCACTAGAGACCATGAAGATCTTTGACCGCGAGATATGGTCTCCTTACAGACTTATGTTGCTTGCGGGAGCTCAGATAGCATGGAGGGGGTCACCCAACCTCACGTTGCTACGAACCATGGTCTCCATGGTCCAGCGGCAACCCCCCCTCCCCCCCCGTAGCTCCATAGCCAATCCCTTTGGGGCCAATCTGGCAGTGTCCCTCAACTCAAGGACATTGACAAATAGGTCTAGATCCATGGATTATGACTGCTCGGAGTCAGCAGGCGCACTAGCACCTATATTTCTTTCCCTGAAACAGACTGTCCAAGGACCGAACCTCAGGGTGTCTACTAACATCCTGGTAGACGACATCCCGATTTCCGATATATATATATATATATATATATATATATATATATATATATATATATATATATATATATATATATATATATATATATATATATATTAATATCTCTGTTATATCTGACAAATAATAATAATTAAGTGCACGATATAGGATCATCAGTCCTATGCTCGGTCGGTGTAAGTATATATATTAAACAACCTCTTATTTATTTAGGATGTATCCCAATGGTAAGAAGTGAGCTTCATATGTATATATATATATATATATATTATATATATTAAACAACCTCTTATTTATTTAGGATGTATCCCAATGGTAAGAAGTGAGCTTCATATGTATATATATATATATATATATATATATATATATATATATATATATTATATATATTAAACAACCTCTTATTTATTTAGGATGTATCCCAATGGTAAGAAGTGAGCTTCATATGTATATATATATATATTATATATATTAAACAACCTCTTATTTATTTAGGATGTATCCCAATGGTAAGAAGTGAGCTTCATATATATATATATATATATATATATATATATATATATATATATATATATATGAAGCTCACTTCTTACCATTGGGATACTTCCTAAATAAATACGAGGCTGTTTAATAAGAAACAAAATTATAAGAGAATTAATATAGGTAAACATAGTTAGAGGGGAAGGAGGGTAACATTTATGTTTGTAGAATACACATAATTTGCTGACAAATATTTCAGATGGGTACAATATTTGAGTTATTTCATATGGTTACAGAAATGTGAATATTGACTAGTAATGAAATTACTCAAATATTGTACCCGTCTGAAATACTTGTCAGCAAATTATGTATATTCTACAAACATAAATGTTACCCTCCTTCCCCTCTAACTATGTTTACTTACCTTTTGCTATCTGAAAAAGCACAACTGGGAAATCCTCCACCCCTGACCCTTTTACTTACCTACCAAACATGTGTCAGTACTTGAACACCCTCAATGCTCAAATCATGATAGTTAGTAAGAGAAAATATTACAAATTTGTATAAATGGATCATATATATTAGTTTTTAATTTTTAGTTTGTAAAACTATTTTAATATGTGTATTACAATATTAGTTAAGATTCATATGCCATCAATCACTATAGTTTATTATTTATAATTAGCGGTCGTATACTATTATATCTCTGATTGTAATTTTAAAAAATATTTTCAGCCCTAAAGATGACCCACATGTTTGGGTTGAAACGTTGTAAAAAATAAAAAATTTTAAAAAAGACTGCGTCCTGAATATTTTCACCCATTCCTAAATAAATAATAGGTTGTTAAATAAAAAACAAATTATAAGAGTATTAATATATTAAATTGAAATTTATAAGTATTTTATCTCAGGTGTCAAGCTAACCTCTTTTCTATAGATATTGTTTCTTCCTTTGTTGCTCTAAATTCCATTTGTCTTCTAACATTTTCCTATGTTCTGCCAAACACAACTTCCAAATTGGTGACACTATCTTCTACTCAACTCAAGCTCCCTGGGAGATCCTCTCTCTTGTGATTCCAAACAACTAGTCTCTCTACCAAACAACAACTTTCAAGACGGTAAAACTATTACTGGGTTTTATCCACTGGAGCCAGGATTCCTTCTCCCATCCTCTCTTTACCCCAGGCAAACACTAACTGCCTGCCGAAATAAAAACCTTTGTCGCTCTACTCTTTGGTATTTTCCTTTCTGGGGAAACTACATAGCAGCCATTTTCTTTCCCCTGAACTAGTAGAACTAGATTAGCTTGCTTTTTAATCGTTACATTAATTTATTAAATCATTTTTAACAACTTACAAATAGGGAGTGCTACCACTGGGCAGTATCTCTTCAAGTCTGTTCATGTCATTATTTCTAATGGGTGCATTTTTACTAGTTCTATTGTTTATACAGTTGTAAATTTCATTAAACACAAAAAAAAAAAACTTGAAATTAAAGTTTATATTACAATATATATACACAGGATGTCCCGTAAGCAGAGGGAAATTTTTATGGGAGAGATAGCAGAACTCAAGAGCTCAAAAAAGTTTATGTAAACAATGGGCCTGTTTTCGACAGAAAAGTAGGAAATTCAAGTTTTGTTTTCTTTTAAGTGTCATGTTTTTTGTTGAATAGGAAGCGATAACTAAAGAAATATTTAATTTAAGTAATATTTACTAGACAAAATTTACTCCAAATGGAAATAGAGTTTATTATTATTAAAATAATGTAAAGACGACTTTTGAGCAGCTAAACTACACTAAGTTCTGTTTTTAAAAAAAATCATAAATTATAAGGGATTTCTTTTTACCATTATCCAAAAATACTACAGATAACCCATGCTTGTGAAAACTTTCTTGTTTGATAATCTTTGAATCCATATTAATTAAGTTGAGGTTTATTAGGCAAAAATTTGAGATTCACCTCAAGTTGTGTAAAGAAATGATGCGATTTTCTAACCAGACACCTAAAATAACTCGTGTTACCAGAAAAAATGACTACAATTAACTGTTGGAAAGTTTGTATTTTTTGTTTTTTTCTGATGTGGGATGCATTGTAATAAAAATAATTTCCTAAATACACATTTTATTAATAAAAATACAAAAAATTAAAAATAAGGATTTTTCAAATATGTTTCATGTAAAGTAGTTATGAAATTATATTTTTCTCCCAGATCTGTATCATTGGAATTGATTAAAAATTTATATTTAAAATGAAGAAACCTACTGTTTGCTTCAATTATTCTCATTAAACGTAAATATTTGGATTAGAAACATTAAGTTTGTTATTTATAAATAAGGATCAATTTCAATAACAGAAGATCTAGAAGAAAAATACAATTTCATGTGAAATTACATGAAAAATTATTTTTTTTATTTATTTTTATAAGTAAAATGTGTATTTAGGAAATTATGTTTTTTACAATACATCCTATGTCATGGAAAAAGAAGAAATGAAAGCTTTGCAACAGTTATTTGTAGTCATTTTTGCTAAAAACAAAAGTACTTTTAGGTGACTTGTTTGAAAATCACATAATTTCTTTACACAACTTGAGGTGAACTCAAATTTTTGCCGAATAAACCTCAACTTAATCAATATGGACTAAAAGCTTATTAAAGGAGTAACTTTTCCTAAAAGTGGGCTATTTGTAGTGGACTATATAATCAGATAATGGTAAAAAAAAGTTGCGTATAATTTATGAATTTTAAAAAAATAGAAATTAACTTAGTTCAACCGCTCCAAGTCGTCTTTAAACTGTTTTAATAATGACAAATTCTATTTCTATTTGAAATGAATTTTGTCCAGTTTACAGTGAAGCAATTGTTAATTACTTAAATTAGATGTTTCTTTAGTTATCGCTTCCTATTCATCAAAAAGCATGACTTATTTAAAAAAACACAAAACTTGGATTTCCTAATTTTCCACTGAAATTAGGCCCGAATATCAACTTTTTTTGTAGCTCTGAAGGTCTACTATCTCTTCTATAAAAATTTTCCTCTACTTACATATTCAGGAGACACCCTGTATATATCTGTATGCATACATATATATACAAGGGACACACTACACCCTAGGATGTATGCATACATAAGAAATGCTTATTTTCATGTTGTTGTTGCATGGTTGCTTTTACTTATTCTATGTTGCCAGTTTGAAGAGATGACTGCTGTTGAAGCAGAGAAGAGGGTCGCCATCGTGTGGCGTGACATTATCTTTAGCAGGATGTTTTCCGGTGCTGCCTATGGAGCAGATTCCAGCATACACCAACCTTTGACCGTAGTCGATATGGAGCTGAGCTCGCCGCAGTGCCTCCTGCTGGCGCTGCTCCACTCCCTGATGGCACAAGATGTGACGTCTTGTGTTTTGCTCGCTGACATCTGCCACCAAGTCAAGATGCTGAGCTCAAAATACTTAAAAGTCTGGCTTTTGGAAGACTTTGAATTTCCTCGGACTGACATCGAGAACGCAATGTCTCTTCTGGTTCAGCTGATAGCAGATGGCATCCTGAAGTTGCCTACTCATGTGATGATGCTTATGACTTCCCTAGCCAAGAAGTATAGGATTACTGGTGTCGAGCTGAGAACATTATCGGAGGTATATCTTTCTCTTATATAATGTTAGCTTTTAAAACAGTCATTTCTTAAAATTATCGATTTCAAAACGTTAATCAAACAGTTTTAAACTATATGTTAAATATTGGTGGAACAATCTCAGCAGTGTGTAATTAGGCTGTGATGATTGTTTTTTTGTTAAAGGTTTGTTCCCTTGGAAATGGCCTAAGGGCTGAAACGTTGTTGTAGAGAAAAATAAAATAAAGTAGGACTAATGTAATCTATGAGTGTTTTTATTATTACAAATAAAGCAAAGTTCTGACTAACAATATTCAAATATATACTTATATTGAACTAAATAACTTTTATGCGTGCTTTAACAAAAATAAATGACACAATTGCGCTTTTCAATTTTGGTCCATCAGCAGAATAATTCTTTTAAATTTAAATGTTAATGAAATTTCATTAAGTGTACTAAAAGCTTGTTGTCATCTGTTTTAATGAAAATTACATGATAAATTAATACATATAAGGTTTTGTATAGATAATGCATTATAAAGCTGCTAAGCTAGTAAATTCCTCTATCCAATAAAAAATCCAAAGAAGTTAAAAATGGAAAATGATTGATGATTAATTATATCTATTCCAATTTTGTATTTGGATCCTTGATTAACCAATGCTTTGGTACCTAGCTTCATGGTAGATATTATTAGCTGCTTAATTCATCAATTTCTATGTAGGGCCAACTTAGGTATTGAATGTAAAGCATATATCATTTTATTAACAAAATGGTGTTTGTGTTACAGGAATACCGCCACGATTTGGCAATAAAGCTTGAACATGCTGTCATTAGCAACTGTCTCAAAGAGATTTTCCATTTGGAAAGTAAAGGAGCAGATGTATGTGGGTGGACTCGGAACGGTGACAGCCTTCTGCATTTGGCTGCAAGGGCTGGAAGCAATGCCTCCATCGCAGCACTTAGTGTCCTCAACGCAGATTTGGAGTTAGTAAACTCTTGGAATGCTACTCCCTTAGATGAAGCAGTAAGATGTGATAAAGCTTCTTCAGTTCAGGCCCTGTTAATGGCTGGTGCTAAATTAGACAGGTGTTTGTTGGGAGGAGACACCTACCTCCATATTGCGGCTGCCGGAGGCTATAATGAAGCACTAAAGGCCTTGTTAGATGGAAGAATAGAAGTTAATGAAAAAAACCACCTCGGCGAAACTCCATTAATTGAAGCTGTTAAAGCGGGCAACATTCGGGGTATGGAATTGTTACTGAAAAAAGGAGCGGATTCCAGTGCTCTTTCCAGCTTTAGGTTAAAGAATGGTGACTCAGCAGTACATTGTGTAGCTCGCTCAGGGAATGTAGAAGTCCTCCAATTACTTAAAGATAGAGAGATAACAGCAGACATAAAAAATCCTGATGGACTCTCGCCATTGCATGTTACTTTTAATCCCTCCGTTGTAAGAATGCTACTAAAGATGGGTGTAGATGTTAACAATAAGGATAACACAGGCTGCACTCCTTTGATGATGGCAGTGAAAAAAAGCGAGACAGATATCCTAAGTTTATTATTGTTAAATGGTGCCAATCCTAAAATAAAGGACAAAACAGGTCGGACTGCACTTCATTACGCCGCTGCAGTTGGCTGCACTTTGTCAATGACCACTCTGCTGGATGCTGGAGTCATTGTTGATGACCAGGATAATAAAGGCGACACTCCGGCTTTTATTGCTGCTGCAAATAATGAACCAGCTGCCCTGGAGCTGCTTGTGAAGAATGGAGCTAACCTGGCTCTGATAGACAGAGATGGCAATGGTATATTGCATCGTGAGGCCTGCAGAGGACACGTCGAGGTTGTAAAATTGTTAATTGATGCTGGCCTGGAGGTAGATATGAAAGGAAAAGACCAGAATACTGCCTTACAGTTTGCTGTTAAGAAAGGACACACTGCAGTAGTAACAGCACTGCTTGCCGCCGGGGCGGCATTGAATATGAATGATGAGGATCAGGTTCCTCCTTTACATCTTGCAGCATCTGAAGGACACGCTGAAGTGGTGGCTGCACTTCTTGATGCTGGAGCAATAGTTGATTTGAAATATAACAACATGTGGACTGCCTTACACACTGCAGCAGACAAAGGACACGTTAAAATAATAAGACTGCTTCTTGCGGCTGGAGCAAAAATGGATATAACTGGTTATTACAAAAGCACTGCCCTACTCATTGCATCGAGGGCTGCACATGTAGAAGTGGTGAAAGCGTTGCTTCATGCAGGAGCGGCAGTTAATATGAAAGATGAGGAACAGTGGACACCCTTACACTACGCAGCAGCCATAGGATGTATTGTGATGGTGAGAGAAATGCTTGCTGCTGGGGCATCAGTGGATATGACAGATCAAGACCAGACCTCTCCCTTACACTGTGCAGCGGAAGAAGGGCGCACGGTAGTTGTGGCAGCACTGCTTGAGGCTGGGATGGCAGTTGATACGAAAGATCAAGCCCAGAACACTGCATTACATCTTGCAGCTAAGGGAGGATTCATGGAAGTGGTATCAATACTTATTGATGCCCATGCACCACTGAATATGAAAAATCAGCACCAGAAGACCGCTTTACATTATGCAGCAGAAGGAGGACACACTGCAATGGTGTTAACACTGCATACTGCTGGGGCATTGGTAGGTTATCAAGACATGTACCAGAACACAGAATTACATTATTCAGCAAAGGGAGGATACTCTGAACTATCGAGATATCTGATTCGTGCTGGGGCAAAAGTAAATATGGAAGGTATGGGCCAGTGGACTCCCTTACATTTTGCAGCACATAGTGGACACGCAACAGTAGTTACATTGTTGCTTAAAAATGGGGCAAAAGTTGATATGATAAATGAGGACCATTCGACTTCTTTGCATTATGCAGCAGTAGGAGGACACACTACAGTGGTGACAACACTGCTTAATGCTAAGGCAGCAGTGGATGCGAAAGGTAAGGACCTGCGGACAGCTTTAAATCTTGCAGCAGATAAAGGACACACTGAAGTGGTGAAAGCACTCCTTTGCGCCGGAGCTGCATTGGAGGTGAGAGATCAGTTTCAGTTGACTGCTTTGCATCGTGCAGCACAGGGAGGCCACACTGCAGTGGTAAGGGTGCTGTTGGACCGAGGGGCGGACCCAGCGACTACAACAGGTGAGGGTTTCACGCCGCTAATGGGAGCTTCTATCAATGGCCACTTGTCCGTGGTGCAGGTACTCCTTGTCTACGGTTCTCCAGTTAATGCTGTGAATAATGTTGGGCAGTCTGCCCTATTCCAAGCTATTGCAAACAACCACAGCGATGTAGCAGAGTGCCTGAGGAGCTGGGGTGCGACTGAGTGATGTCAGCAATCTGTGGGCTGCGGATCTGGCAGAGAGAACTGTAAAGACTGTGAATTGTTGAATTTAATTTATTTTTTAATTAAATAGGGAACTTCCCTAATATTTAGTTAAATAACTGGATTATTATTTTTGTAAAAATGATTTTTATGAAATGATTGGTAATTAAACAATGTTTCTTATGAAATTTTATTATTTGTTGATTTTAATGTTATTAATTACTTTTAACTGTTCTTGTAATTTTAGTTTTATAATGAATAATATATGTATTTATATTATTGTATGTTCTTTTTTCTGACTCATTGAGACTCATATTTTTAAACAGTTAGTGAAAAATATGTAAAAAATAAAATGTTTTTACACCCTGTTACCTGTACTTAAAATGTGCATTTTATTTCTTGAAACTCATCTATTTTTCAAATGATATACTTGAATTTTCTCAAACACAAATTGTTTAAATAACGAAGTTTAAAACTAACAAATCCGATATCTTTAAAACAATATACATCAGACCTATTTTTATATATTGTAATAATAAATGTTTAACTGAAATGTATGTTGTGTTAGTGATTTAATATAAGTTTTAGTGTGAAGGCAAGATTGATAATGTGAAATATTGTTGTATTTTTAGAATTGTATAAGATTCACGTTTCATGTGGAACTAAGTTGAATGTAAATTTTAATTGTTCTTTATTATTTTATCTAAATATAAAATCAAGTGTGTGGATGTGAGATTTTTTTTTAGATATATTAATTAATGAATTAAAGAGAAACTTACCTACTTTCCTTCATTGAAAAAAGTAACATTTAAATAAAAGAAGAAATATATGAAAAGTTATTTTTATTTATATGGCATTGAGTGAAGGAGATGTTATGTCTTGATCGGGACACCAGTGCATTCCATTAATGGCTTGGTTTGAGTGAAGTCAAGGTGATGGACTAAGCAAGTCACTTTATGATCAGTGATTTAAAACTGGAAGTCATTGGTTTTGAAAAAAAAAAAAAGAATCTTTGTCTTCACATATGAACAAATAGGGATCAGCGATAATCGATCGTTTTATCCTCCCCTTATATTCAAATTATCAAATTAATTTCAAATTGTGTGCACTTAAAGGAATAATTTTAATGACATGTCTTCATACTATACACATTGTTGTTTATAGTGATAATATAACAATGTATGAGTCCAATGTTTGATTATTCAAAACATGAAAAAGAAGCATGAAGTTGTATTATTCCTGTCAATACATAAAATTAAACAAAAAGAAGCCATCATAATAAAAAAAAACAATACAATCTAAGATTATTTTTACTCCTGTAGTTATTTTGATAGGAGAAAATAATGTTATCCTTACCTCTCCCTTTTCTATTTATTTTTTCATTAATAAAATATATAAAATCTAAAATGAGACCAGCATAGTTTCATGCTTAAAATTAATATCATATTAAATTTAGAAAATTGCTATCTTGGAAATTAAAGGATTTATGCATTTCTTTTTTTACCAAATAGTTCAAACATTGTGACATATCATCATCAGTTTTTCTTGTTTGAGTTTGCCATTCATCGAAATGAACATTTTTTATTTTTATAAAAGTATTTTTTTCTGTCTATTAATTTTTTAATGTCTATTTAATCTTTTTATTTTTTTTGAGAGCCCATATCAACATGCATCTTAAATAATGTATTCAACATATATGTCAATTATTGTTATGGAGCTTACAGAAATTTTCAAAATAGAGAACTATTGAAAAAATACTCTTGAAGTTACTGAATTATCAATAGTGAAAAACTATCAACTATCATCCATTCTTACAAAAAAAAGTTTACACAAAAATAAAAAGTTGTAACTTTGTAATACTTGACCAAATAAGGCAATAATGACTTCGGTGGTTGATGTCTAAAATATATGAAAAAATCTGGTGCGCAACACACAACTTTCACTTACCGATCTACTTTGAATAGAAATTATTTTCTGGCAATGCTGGGCTATTATAAAATTTTTTGAAGTGCATTTTAAACGGAGCTAAAACTTACAGATAACATGTCATTAAGACCATTATAATTACAAAATGTCTATTTAATATATCGACAACAGGCAATAAAAATCTATTCACTCCATCTGCTTTTATAAACCACATAATGGCTAACTCCAATTTCAAAATTTTTGAGTGATGTCATTTTAGTGATATTTTTAGTTGAAAAAGTTATCTATGCAGACAATGAGTAAGTGGATTCCAGAGGTGGTGATTGCAGTGTTGAAATATAGAACTGAGAATAAAAGTATAAATTTAGGTAATACTGTCTTATGAAAGATGTTCTTAGGAAAGACACTTTATTAAATATCTGTAGAAAAAAGGTTTTTTTAGTCTCAACAATTAAAAAAATATATTTTAAATTTATCCAAATTTTCACCTCTTCACGGAAAAAAACTAGAGACCATATCTTTCCTCCTAATTGTCTGATTTTAACGATTTTTTTTTTTTTTTAGAAAATTCCATAAACTTTTTAAAAAAAACCATTACAATATCGACAAAAAAGCGTATACTTTTTGAGTTATTCGGAATTTAATTTTAACATCCCTCGTAACTTTTTTTCTAGCTTCTTCTCGTTGAAGTATGTTATATAGATAAATTTAAATGGTATCGAGAAAATGACTTTAGCGAAGTTTCAATGAAATCGGTACATTATTTTAGGCATTACAGTATATAGCTACGCAGGTTTTTCTGCATTTTTATTTTTTTTCTACTTTATTAACTTATCAAATTCTTTCAAAAGTTATATTTAGCATTTTTTCTTAACTCTGAATAACACGAAATGGTTAAATTTTTAAAATAAACCATATTAAAGGTACTTTAGAGGAAGACATATATGAACATTGGGCATTTAAGCCCTGTAAAGTGACATCAACGGGGATAAGACCTAAATGATATTAAAGACAACTTAATTATACAATGATAAACCGAGTTTGATCAAAATCATTAGAGTCGTTTTTGAGAAAATTGTAAAAATGGGTTTCAGTGTTTATATAAAGTGGCACTTCCGGTTAGCCGATTTTAACGAAAAAGTTGCTGTCACATCCGGCTCATATACAAACCTTAAATACTTAATATCAGTTTCGTACTACTTTTCGTTTATGAGCTAGACTGTTAACACACACCCACACACAGACCATTTTGCAACACTTGGTTATTTGAACTCAGGGGACCTCAAAACATGTATTCATGCATTTCTGTTGAAAACTGAGATTCAAAAATTTTCACGATCGCAATACCCTTACTATATATTACATATATACGTAAGTGGAAGTAAAAAAGTAACTTTTAAATTTCATCTTTATTTGTTTAATATTAAATTATATTTCAAAATAAAATTAACTATTGCTTACATGAATTTAATTACCAGTATTTTAATCCATCATCTTAAAAATAAAATTGCTTCATTAAGCAACATATAATTCTTTTGTTTTTATTAAATCAATTGGTGCTCATTTGTTAGCCAAAATCCTAAGATCACTCTGTAGATGAAATGTTATAAATAGCCTACTTTGTAATTTTCACTTCTTCCTATTAATAAAGATAGATAATAGTTTGAGTTAACTAATAAATAAACTTTATATTGGTTAATGATTATCATGACCTCGTTAACTTTTTTTTGGATTATTTTCCACAATAACTGAGAATAAAAATAATTATTCTAAATTGAAATATAATAAAATTGACTAAATTGGGAAAATAACGTTTTTTTAATATTTCAAATTTCTTTAACTTAAATATCTTTCTAGATGTTTTTACTTTTTTATTTATTCAAGGCTCTTCCCTGATGCTATGTCCTGCATCATATTAACACTCATGAAAATAAACTATTAAGTGATTAAAAAGTTCTGAATTCGGTCAAAATAAAATTTTCTTTAATCAAATTCAGATAATCTCTCATTTTGTGGGAGAAAATTTCTGGAAAAAACTCCACCTACATTCAGACAAATATGAAATTTCATTTGTTTTTTAAGGAAAAGTTATTCAGAGGATGCAGTTGACAGTAACTCATAAATGTGCGAGTAATGTTTATTAAATAGTCTACATTGTTGGTCTACATCAGGATTTTCGTCCAGCAATGCTGGAAGAACCAAGGAAACAGATTAAACAGTGAAGTTTTATGTACTAGCCAATCCAGTGCATAATTGATTTATACCTTTTTGCTCTTAATATACGCTGAGCAGACTACGGTAATAAAAGCTAACCAATGTCAGTCACGGTAGGTACAACTAAATGAAATTAGAAAGGAACGCTAAATATGTTTTAAAGGCAAACCATTGTTGTGATAAAATATAAACATAGAAAAAATAAATAGAATAAATAAATGATTTACATCTGTTCCTTTAGAAGTTTAAGTGAATACACATAAAGGTACTGTGAAAAACTATCCAAGTATTGTTATCTACTTATGAAAAGATAGATCAAGAGGAGAGAATATATATGTATATATATACAAACAGAAAGGAATGTGCCGAAGATAAGTAAAAAATAAAATACATTTCAAAGAAATACAATCTTATGAATAGGAAAAGTAGAAGTTAAGAAAACAAATTACTCATAATGCTCTGTGATAGGTGATGGAAATTCATTTTCATATTCATAACAGTAGAAAAAAAATTAATGTTTAAAGAAAATTAAAACCTTGCTACATAGTAAATACTTAACCAACATACATGATTTTAGAGTATGGAACTCACCTGGTTCACATGTGCTTCTTTTCCCCCATCCAGAATATTTCTGAATCCTGCACCGGTGTTATGGATCCAATTATTATCTCCTTTTGGATATAATTTATGGATTAATGATGGTTGATAGATGAAATCTGATTCAATGATGAGTTTTTGTCTCAGATCTAACGGTAGCTAAAGATGGTGGATATTATCGTGTTTTCATATGTTTGTCAGCCATATTAGTTTGTAATAATTGGATAAAGGACTGTTGAGACGATCTGTGATCGGGCCTGACACATTGGAAAGTAGGTTGGAATTTTGTTCTGACATTATATCCTCCCACTACTCCACCATTACTTTTGACACACCATGGAAGGTAAAATTCCTCCTCTTTACCCATAGGTGTTATCTGTATTAGTTTCTTTTTAAAGTTTTTAAAACTTATAAATGTTCTTGGGATGGATCATAATCATATTATAGCAAAGATGCCAATAGAATACAAAAGCCTGTGATAGCTTGCTATCTATTAGTAAAAAAATCCAATAAATTGCAGCTATAAAAATAGAATTATTTAAGAAGCTGATAAATTGATCATATACTGCACAACCAAAAATTTAGAAATTCCATTTATATTATTGGCCAATTTAAGAGCTTAGTAATGTTTATTAAATTGGTAGATTAAAGAGGGAAGACCAAGGGAAGGTGGTCAGGAGTGGGCAAACTCAATGTGCAAAATACTTATTGCCCAGCGATCTGATAAACCGAAGATTATGAGTTTGAATCCTGGTGTTGGAGGGCTTTTAATTCTAGCATAAATCCACTGCCTTCTCTCCTGGCATGGAAAAAAAAACTTTATTGCCGAATCTAAATGGCCCTTAAGAAAGGAAATTTTTTTATTGAGGTAATGGATGTGTTGTATAGCCTATTTTGGCCTTTCTTTTGTATTGATGCAAAATTCTTTTTTGAATAATTCCATAAATTTATTTAGTAATTTCTTAATGACACCTACACTTGATCTATCATTATTTCC